TATAACTCTGTAAATAATGGTCTGAGCCAAAATTGAAAGAGGAACTTTTAGTTCAAAATTTCATTCTCTTTCACGCCTTGAAATATTAATTAAGCGTTACGGGACACCCTGTATTGATGTGGTAATAAACATGACACATCACTACATACTACTACATCAATATCGCACGCATACATACTCACAAATTGTCGGTAAAACAGCGGATTTTTGGAGTTTGATCTAGGATTTAGGATCCTCTTAAGGATGTTTAATACGTACAATAGTACCAAAAAATTAAAGGACTGATTTTCCTTGACTTTAAATCCTTAATATAAACTTAATATCAACTTAAATTAATCTTTACACTAGTTGTTAGGATTGCGTTTCCTAAAACAGTTTATTTAATAATAAATAATCCTCACCTCAAGGAATATAGTATTCAAATGTAAACATAAAAATTAACTTATTATTAATTCCAGCGTTTATACGAGGTGTCTTATTTTAATAATGCTATAAAATACGAAAGTTATAACTTATAAGAGTTATAAGCTCATATCTAATTCAAATAAAAAATTTACACATTTTAACGAGCAAATTAAGAAAAATCACTAACATTACTTTCTGAATTCATATTTAATATGATAAAAAATATTAAAAATTAGGTAATATTTACATAGCAATTTTTCGCAAAAAAAACCAATTTTTTCAAAAGAAACCGAAATTTTTCTGGTTTTTTTCCAGTAATTTGAAAAAAGCAGTTTTTTTAAATTATAACTAGAAATGTTACTTTTTTTAATAAGTAATTTGATGCATATTTTAGCTTACAATTAGTAGCAAAAATCAGGATCGATCACCAGTGATCAGCAAGACGTGATTCAACATGTTAAATAGATTTAGACCTGTGCAATATAAATTACCTCCTGTAAAAAATATTGGAAGAATCCACGCAGCCGCATGAAGATAAGGCGCGATGTTGTGAAGAGCTTCGCTGCTCCACTCATTTCTAGCGCTCAGTAACCAGCAACCGCACAGCACTGCCCACCACGTGTTGCTAGCTAATCCTAGATAATACCTGACCAGCCACCAAATTGTACAGGGAACACTCTTCAAAGCATCACGGACCTGTTCATAGATAAACAGGTATTACAGCAGGTAAATATTAACGTGAAAGAATCCAATACAGAAAGACAGTAGTAAAGATATTACAACAAATTAAATTAAAGCCAATATATAAATCTGCAGACGCAAATATTTGTGTAATACCACAATTTCAAAATCTTAACAGTATGTTAGCAATTTGTCAATAGAATTTTGAACAGAATATTGTAGCAAATTGGATAGCATTAATTGCGTCTATATTAAGCTCGTGCTCTGCCAATAAAGTCTGTCGATAATCTACAATAAATTGCAAAACCAAACAAAATCTATCGTTTCGCAATTATTTGAATCCATTTGGAACATATATCATTTAAATAAGTTAAGTATTTAAAATCTGTTCGGACAATTTACAGTTTACAATCGATCATATTCTGCTATTATACAACTTTGCTTCCGCCGTTTTCCTATAGATGGCTTTAGCGGTAAGTGGTGGTCGAAATAACTCAAGGTGTAGAGGAGCCAGCTAAGAATGCGTGAGCACATAAAAAGAGACAGGAAACGAGTCGCCCATCTGCATCCTTGTTCAATCGCGAATGCGAGAAAAAGATAAAAGATGGATGTACCCTTCGCTCTACCATTTTCTTTCTCTTTCTATCAACTCACGTTGCCACTCAAAGAGGCCGCTATGCCTCTTCTACTCTATGTATATAATCTCTTTGAAATAAATAGATCATAAACGTCATACAATAAACTTGGGCATCTGTCAACATAACCCCACAGAAACATTAGTCAATTTGTGTCTGCATCATAAAGTTATTCTCGATTGAAAATGTCAGTTTACGAGCCAAATTCTCGTCATTTGCGGGAGGTTTTAATTTTCTGCTTCAATATGAAAAAATCTGCGGCTGAGGCTCATCGAATGCTCTCAAATACTTATGGTGAGGCCGCTATTAGTGAAAGAACGTGTTGTGAGTGATTTCAACGCTTCAAGAACGGTGATTTTGACGTCGAAGACCGGCATAGCGGTGGAAGAGAGAAGGTTTTCGAAGATGCAGAATTGGAGGCATTACTTGATTAAGACTCGTATCAAAATCAAGAAGAATTGGCACGATCATTGGGAGTGACTCAACAAGCCATTTCAAAACGCCTCAAAGCCATGGGAATGATTCAGAAGCAAGGAAATTGGGTGCCGTACGAGTTGAAGCCGAGATGTTGAACGGCGTTTGTTTGCTTGTGAACAGCTGCTTGAAAGGCAAAGACGGAAGGGTTTTCTGCATTGCATTGTGACTGGGGACGAAAAATGGGTTCATTACGATAACCCCAAGCGCAGAAAATCATGGGGAGTTCCTGGCCATGCTTCCACATCGAAACCACGGCCAAACCGAATATTCACGTCTCCAAAGTCATGCTCTGTATTTGGTGGAACCAGCTCGGCGTAGTGTATTATGAGCTGTTAAAACCGACTGAAACAATCACAGACGGTATCGAACGCAATTGATGCGTTTGAGCCGAGCATTGAAAGACAAATGGCCGCAATACAACGAGAGACACGATAAAGTGATTTTGCAGCATGACAATGCTCGACCCCATGTTGCGAAAGTGGTCAAGACA